TGGGATACCCAGTAGAAACTCATGGCTTCAAATTGGCTCAGTTCTGACTGTTTTTGTCATTGTTGAGTGAACCAGCAGATGGAAGATACCGATCTCTCCTCTCTAACTCTTTCAAGTAAAAATAAGGCGGGGTAGGGGAGAGCTATTGGACATGCAACTAGCAGCCTCTGTTTTCCACAGGTCCTAAACTTTTCCGATCAAGAACAAGAACCTCAGGAACTTCTGAAGGGTTACAGAGAGTAACAGAGTGTCCTCAGTCTAGATTCTCTGAAGTCGTTACACCTTAATTGTCTTGCTGCAGCACAAAATTATTTTCTGCTATAGAAAGTATTAAAAGATTTGAATTGGTCTCCAAGTTGACAAATGTTGGTTCATTTGAGAGGGAAGAATTTTATGTAGTTACTCTTATTCAGTGATGATGTTTCTTAACACAGGAAGCATGGGAGTATGAAAGTTTTAAGTGGAGTAAGACAACAATCACAGCAGGGAGGACAATGGGCATTCTGAGCTTTGCTTGCTAACCCTGGGACCTAACCAGTAGTTAGTCAGCTGATTACCCTATCTTTTTATTATTTTAAAGATTTATTTTTTTATTTTTATTGGAAAGGTGAATATACAAAGAGGAGAGACAGAGAGGAAGATCTTCCGTCTGATGATTCACTCCCTAAGTGAGCGCAACAACCGATGCTATACTGATCCGAAGCCAGGAGCCTCTTCTGGGTCTCCCGCATGGGTGCAGGGTCCCAAAGCTTTGGGCCATCCTCGTCTGCCTTCCCGGGCTACAGGCAGGAAGCGGGTTGGGAAGTGGGGCTGCCAGGATTAGAACTGACGCCCATATGGGATCCCAGGCGTGCAAGGCGAGGACCTTAACTACTGTGCCATCGCGCCGAGCCTTACCCTATCTTTTTAAACGCACTTGGTGTTTGGTAAACCATTGTGCTTCTCCTTAATGACAGTGCTCACTGTCCTTTTGCTTTCTCCATATCTTCTTTTTGTTTTTTCTTAAGATTTATTTATTTTTATTACAAAGATATATAGAGAGGAGGAGAGACAGAGGAAAATTTTCTGTCTGATGATTCACTCCCCAAGTGAGCGCAACAGCCAGTGCTGCGCCGATCCAAAGCCAGGAACCAGGAACCTCTTCCAGGTCTCCCATGCAGGTACAGGTTACCAAATCTTTGGGCTGTCTTCGACTGCTTTCCCAGGCCACAAACAGCGAGCTGGATGGGAAGTGGAGCTGCCGGGATTAGAACCGGCGCCCATATGGGATCCCGGCACATTCAAGGTGAGGACTTTAGCCGCTAGGCCATGGCGCTGGGCCCCCTCCATATCTTCTTTATATCATGTTCCCTTTTTTTTTTTTTAATTAAAGATTTATACAAAGAAAAGGAGAGCCAGAGAGAGCTTTCCATCCACTGGTTCACTTCTTAAATGGCCATAATGGCCAGGGCTTGGTCAGGCCAGAGCCAGGAGCTTCTTCCATTTCCCCATGAGGGTGACAGACCATCCTGTGTTGCTTTCCGAGGTACATGCACAGGGAGCTGGGTTGGAAGTGGAGCAGCCAGTGCTCATATGGAATGTTATTGCAGGCAGCTTCATCCGTATTAGTATGCCAACCCCACTTGCCCATTATAAATTTTTGTTGTCTTACTGATATGTAAAATCTCATAAGTTTTGGACACAAGACGTTTATTTGATATATGTGGTGCAAATATATTCTCCCAGCCTGAATTTTAAATTTTGATATCCAGTTTAAAAATTTTGATTGAAAAACAAAGATCTTTCTGCTGGTTGAGCCAAAGCCAGGCTCCTTGGACTCCCCTGTGTATGGCAGTGACACAAATACTTGAGCTGACTTGTAGATGTGCATTAGCAGCAGGCTGGAAGTGAAGCCAGGCACTGCAACTTGGGATGCAGGTGGTATTTGCATCTGTGCAAACACCTGCCTCCTGGACCACTGTAGTTCTTCCTTCTCCAGTGTTAACAGGAATGAGAACAGTTTTATCCTGCCTGCTAAGTTCTGTTCCTGAACCCCATTCTGTATTTATGCATGCAAAAGATAGTCATTAGGTGCTGCCATGTGTTGGACACTAGTACTGCTTTATTTTTATCTGAAGCAGATTCAGAGAGAAGAAAAGAGAGTGCTTCCATCCATTGGCTCACTGCTCAAGTAGCTGTAATGGCTGGAGTTGAGATGGTCCCTAGTGAGAAGCCAGGAGCTTCTGGGTACAAGAATCTGAACCATCCTGGGCCCGGCGCGGTGGCGCTGTGGTTAAGGTCCTCCCCTTGCACGCCCGGGATCCCATATGGGCACCGGTTCTATCCCCGGCAGCCCCACTTCCCATCCAGCTCCCCACCTGTGGCTCGGGAAAGCAGTCGAGGACTGCCCAAAGCTTTGGGACCCTGCACCCACGTGGGAGACCCAGAAGAGGCTCCTGGCTTTGGATCGGCATAGTATTGGCCGTTGCGCTCATTTGGGGAGTGAATCATCGGACGGAAGATCTTCCTCTGTGTCTCTCCTCTCTGTATATCTGCCTTTCCAATAAAAAATAATAAAAATAAATCTTTAAAAAAAAACTCTGAGCCATCCTCTACTGCTTTTCTGCGCCATAAGCAGGTAGCTGGATCCAAAATGGAGCAGCTGTGCCCTGAAGCACCTTGGAGGCAGAAGATGGTGGCCAAGTGCTTGGGTTCCTGCTACTCAACCTGGCATTGTGCATGGAATTCCCCTCCTTGTGTCTGCCTCTCCCAGCTCTAGATGTTGTGAGCATTTGGACAGTGAACCAGCAGATGGAAGGCCTTTTCTCTGTCACTTTACCTTTAAATCTGTTTTTTAAAATTTATTTATTTTTATCGCAAATCAGATATATATACAGAGGAGGAGAGACAGAGAGAAATATCTTCTAATTCACACCCCAAGTGACTACAACGGCTGGTGCTGCACCAATCCAAAGCCAGGAGCTCTTCCTCCAGGTCTCCGATGCAGGTGCAGGGTCCCAAGGCTTTGGGCTGTCCTCAACTGCTTTCCCAGGCCACAAGCAGGGAGCTGGATGGAAAGCGGGACTGCCAGGATTAGAGCGACATCCACATGGGATTTCAGAGCGTTCAAGGTGAGGACTTAAGCTGCTGGGCTACCGTGCAGAGCCAACCTTTAAATCTTTTACAAAATGTGTTGAATGGGGTTGAATCAGAGGGTTCAAATTCTGCTCCATCCATACCAGAAGGGCCATCATTGTGGCTTCTGGGGAAAGCCAGAGGAGCCTGCATTTGTTTTGGGGAGCAAGTTTCAGGACTGGGAATTAAGGACGTGATAGACCGTTTCATCATGTTGGTATTTACCCTGTATGGTGCTGCTACCAAGATTTGGGTTAGTACAGATTGAAAATGACCTTTATGATGCTTTTGGTGACATTTGAGATTTTTTTTTTACTATAAAGTCAGATATACAGAGAGGAGGAGTGACAGAGAGGAAGATCTTCTGTCTGATGATTCACTCCCCAAGTAATTCCAACGGCCGGTGCTGTGCCGATGCCAGGAGCCAGGAACATCCTCCAGGTCTCCCACACGGGTGCAGGGTCCCAAAGCATTGGGCCATCCTCGACTGCTTTCCCAGGCCATAAGCAGGGAGCTGGATGGGAAGTGGAACGGCCGGGATTAGAACTGGCGCCCATATGGGATCCCAGCGCGTTCAAGGCAAGGACCCCAGCCGCCAGGCCACTGTGCTGGGCCCGACATTTGAGATTTTTTAAATGGGCAAGGGGAGGTATTTGCAGTCACGGAACTAGGGATGTGAGGGGAAAAGAGACGAAATTGGAGTCGGGGTTTTCAGTTTCCTCCCAATTTTATGGATTTATTTTATGGCAGATTGTATTTAATAAGTGCTTCCAGTTTAAGGCTAAATAATTTCGTTACTTCTAACATTTAGGAAGAGTTTTCTTTGGTGTTTATTCCCCAATCTCTTATGTAGGGTACCTCTGTTCTTTCCCTTTTTTTCAGATGAGGAAACTTAAATCTCAAAAGGTCACATGATCCAAAGTTTCACAGTGAATGGAGGGAAAGAGGATGGAGTTAGGTACTCCCTCGCTTTTTTTCCTTTTAAAAGACATTAAGTGTTGGCTAAACAAAGTCTGAGCAGTATTGATGCTTAGGGATGCTTGGAAAAATCGTCAGTCATTGCTTAGTATCGGATTTCATTAACGGCATGATATTAACGATCATTTGCCAGCAATGGACAGACCTGGTTTCCTTATAAAGCACATTTTAATGCGGCAAGGGAGGAGCTCAGGATAAGGTGAGCCAATCACCGAGTAGGGGGAAGCGTTGCCAAGGTGATACTGGGACTGAGTGAGAGGGGTGTTCCAGGTGAGGAGCTGCAGTGACCGCGGGTGGCAGGGCAGGGGACAGAGAAGCCAGAGGCTCCAAGACAGACGAAAAGCAGCGCCCGATCCCACTGAGGAGCCGGAAGCCGACGTGTAGCTACTGCCTATCACCAGGCTGAGTTCCGGCAGAACGGAGTTTTACCCCCGGAAAGGAGCTTAGGTCACACAGTGTGACGAGGCTTTAATAAAGAGGTTTAAACACGGAAATTATGTAATAGCTTCTTACTCATTTTTTCCCCCCAAACTACCGTACCCGCCCCCTTTTTAAAAAACTGAGGGATGCCTGCGGGCTTAGACATCAGTCTCGCAGGTCACTTGGCCGCCCGTGAGGCGGCCGGCTCCTCGGCGGGCGTGGCGGGAGGGTGGCCCCGCAGCTGCAGGCAAAGGGCTTCAGTCGGCCGGGCAAGGCGGCATCCAGGTGGGCAGGCGAGCCTCAGGTCAGCTCGGGGCCGCCGCATCGCCTCAGCCCGGGAGGCGACCTCCCGAGGGCAGCGCGTCCGCACCCGGACACACCCTCGGAGGCGTCCTCCGCGCCGTCCGCTTCCCCGTACCGCTCGGGTCCCGGAGGCGAGGCGAGGCGTGGACGTGGGGCGAGGCGGGCAGCGGAACTGACGCCGGCGGGCTTCCGGGGCGGCCCCCGCGGAGGTCGGCAGCTGCCCGCAGTTGTGGAGGGGCGGTGGGAGCGTCGGCGGCTGCGGGCGACGCCAGTTCCGGACGGGGCTCCTCTCAGCTGTCCAGAAGCGTCTCCTGCCTCGCATCTAGCCCCGGGCCGCCTTCCGACAGCGGCTGTTCCGACTGACAACCTAAGGAGTGCGGGCGCTGAGGGGAAGCCGTCGCCGCCCCCGCCTCGGGGCCGAGGAAGGGTGCCTGTGGCGCCGCGTCGCCCAGCTGCGCCGCCTCCTAGCCCTCAGTGGCGGCCCGGTTCTCGCTGGAAGCACTCCCCCCAGCTCCATGAATGGAAATCGGCTCCGCAGGTGAGTGAGTCAGAGCCTCCGGGCAGACTGGGGACCGATGTCCCTCCACTGCCCTAGCCGAGGTGCGCCAGGTGAGCGCGGGGCCGGTGTCTCCTGTGCAATCCCTCCGGGGCCGCCGAGTTGGCGGCTGCGCTTGGAGCATTTGAGAGCGGGGCTCGGTGACTCCTTAAGTCCACAGAGACTTTCCTCTGGGCTCCAGAAGGCTTGGCCATAGCGGTCACTGTTCAAGCTGACAGTTGATCGGCATGCGTGTCCCGTCCCCGGCGTCCCCTTACGTGCCCCTGAAGGTGGTTGGCAGGGCGCAGTGGGATGACCTGGGAGAGTTGGGTTTGCAGTTGAGTGCAGCCGCCAGCGCAAGGTGGCATTGCAGGCATCCACGGTTTCCCTGCCGCTGTGGGCGGCAGCACCAAGGGGAGTTTGCCAGGAGCCTGGGTCGCTGCTTGTGTGAGGACACGGAGCTTAAAATTGCTGACAGGATGTTTTCCCCCTTCAGTTCTCCATTACCTGGAGATGCGCTTATCATATTGTCAGAAATTGGAATTTTAGGAAAACTGCTTTCTCTCCCAGGGGGAAAGCCGGCACTCTGGAGGGAAAATTGTAACAAGGGTGTTCCTTTTAAAAAGCAAAAAGCACTCTCCAAGGTTCTAAAGTAACTAATTAGGAGTATAAAGGAGGTATTACATAACGGTTTGTTTACCAAATGATCACGCTTTGGGATGCCAGTTTTACATGCATGCTTCATCCAGATGATAGGTTTATAAATTAATGTTCAGAAGAGTATCTTGAATTTCACGTTTCTTTTTTGCCAATTTGAGAAGTACCTGCATACTTACATAAAAGGAACCAGTGACATAAAGACACATGAAGCGCTTTTATGAATAGGTCATGTAGTACTAGTGGCAAAAGGTTGTAGTGGGACTGGGAGAGCTTGTTGTAACTTTGAATAAATGGAGTTTTCTTCATATCTTCTTGAGAAGAGAAAATTTGTTCTGGCTTCTCACTCATTTATTGTTGATTTGCTCCTGAGCCTGTGTACCTCTCTTGATTTGAAATTTTCTTCTGCAGTATTGGTTTTACCGTGCATGAAATGTGATTGGGGCCTAGAGCAGATTTTTCCATGACTGTCCAGTTGTCAAGCCTTTAGAAAAAAATGAAAGTTAAACACTATTAATTTTCCTAAAACTTTTTAATATTAAAGCATTTTTGTCGTGTTTTCCGTTTTTTTTTTTTATTTGTATGAAATTTTGCACAAATAACATGGCAACATCTTGGGAGACACTGCTGTCAAACCACCTACATGACTGGCTGAGCCTTCTAGAAATGACTCTGAAAATAAGTTTTGCCTCTTTTTTGGGGGGGAGGGGGAATGTCCCCTTGCTAAAATAGGTATCCATATAGCTATCCCAGAAAACAGAGTCAGGTTGATTAGCCATATGCTCCACCATCCTGAAATGTAAACTTTATTCTTCAGTGCAGTTTATATGTTATCCACTGCATAATCTGATAAGGAAGATAAGCTTTGGTGTGGCTCAAGAGTACCTTTTTTTTTGTTTTTGAAACTTATGTGTAACTGCTTTCACAAATGGAAAATTCTTAGCATACTGAACAAAAACATATAGCTAACTTACTTTTAAAAAAGGTTTATTTTTACAGAGAAGAGAGACAGAGACATCTTATATCTACCACTTCACTCCCTGAATGACCACAGTGGCTGGAGCTGAGAGAGCTTCTTCTGGGTCTCCCATGCCAGTGCAGGGTCCCAGGTTGCAGGTTTTGGGCTGTCCTCCATAGCTTTACCAGACCACAGAGAGCTGATTAGGAAATGGAGAATCTGGGACTCAAACCAGCACCCATATGGAATGCTGAATATCACAGGCCGAGAATTAACCTGCTATGTTATGGTACCGGCCTCACCAAAACTTTTAAATCTGGAATTTGACAGATACATATTTAGTGTAAAATTTTTTAGATGTAAATGTGTTCTAATAGGATGTTGGTTAGTATTAAATCTTGGTGGCTTTTGGTGTGTGGAAATTTTCAGATATGATAATAGGATATTTTAAATTGTAGTTGTTACATTGATACATAGAAAAGTATTTAGCACATTGGGGGACTTTAGATACAAGTACCATGTAATTGTTTCCTTGTTTATTTGAAAAACAGAGTTACAGAGAGAAAGCGAGAGAGAGGTTTTCTCCAGGCTAGTTGACTCCCATATGGCTGCAACAGGCAGAGTTGAATCAGGGCAAAACCAGGGATCTGCAGCTCCATCTGTCTCCCACACCGGCAATAGGCCTCAGGCTCTTGGACCATCTTTTTTCGTTTGTTTGTTTTCTTTTTTCTTGGACCATCTTGTACTGCTTTCCTAGGCACCTGAGCAGGGAGCTGGATCAGAGAAGGAGCTGCTGGGACTCTAACTGGTGCTTACAGTGGGGGGATCCTGTTACCCAGGCCATGGCTTAACAGTGAGCCACAACATGGAGCCCCATGTGATGTGTTTTGGTAATCATTTCTGACTAAAAGTTAATTCTTGTGTGTTCTTCCGTTTGAAATATTTTAAATGATTTTTTGAAAGATGTACTTGTGGGGGGCCTGGTACGATAGCTTTAGTGTTAACATCTTCGCCTTTTATGCACCGGAATCCCATATGGGTGCTGGATCTAATCCCAGTGGCCCTACTTCCCCATGGTCTTACATCCAGCTCCCTGCCTGTGGCCTGGGAAAGCAGTCAAGGATGGTCCAAAGCCTTGGGACCCTGCACCCACGTGGGAGACCTGGAGGAAGAGCTCTTGACTCCTGGCTTCAGATTGGCTCAGCTCCAGTTATTGCGGCCACTTGGGGAGTGAACCATAGGATGGAAGATCTTCCTCTCTGTTTCTCCTCCTCTCTGTATATCTGATTTTCCAATAAAAAATAAAATACACATAAAAAAAAAAGATGTACTTGTGGGGGCCCTGTGCAAAGCCTAGTGGGTAAAGTCCTCACCTTGAACATGCCGGGATCCCATATGGGCACTGGTTCTAATCCCAGTGGCCGTACTTCCCATCCAGCTCCCTGCCTGAGGCCTGGGAAAGCAGTCAAGGACGGCCCAAAGCCTGGGACCCTGCACCCATGTGGGAGACATGAAAGAACTCCTGATTCCTGACTTCAGATTGACTCAGCTCCAGCCATTGCAGCCACTTGTAGTCAATCAGCGTGTAAATCTTTTTTTTTAAATATTTATTTTTTGTAATTGCAAAGTCATGTATACAGAAAGGAGGAGAGACAGAGAGGAAGATGTTCGGTCCGATGATTCACTCCCCAAGTGACAGCAGGATTAGCAACAGCAGAAATGTTCTTGGAGATGCGTGTCTACATAACTTTTCTAGAACCATACTGTTAAATAAGGTTAAATAAGACTGGTTAAGGATGGAAGGAGTTATGTTTAATAAAAAAAAGACAATATTTTTGCTCTAAATTAATGAAAGAATTGATTTGACATTTGATGCTTGAAAAAGATAAAAATGTTTATTTGGAAGAGATCTTCCATCTGCTGGTTGCTCCATAAATGGTAGCAATGGCTGGGACTAGACCAGGCTGATACCTGAAGGCTGGAACGCCTTCTGGGACTTCCAGGATCTGAAGTGAAGCAATTACATTCCAATGGAGAGTCCTGTGGAATGCTGGTGTGGCAGGCAGTGGCTTAACCCACTGTGCCATATTGGCCCCTTTGATAGTTGTTTCACACATGGTCATACAAAAGTAAATTAGACAGTTTCTTTAAGGTTTGTTTTATTTTTGTTTGAAAGGCAGAGTTACAGATCTCCTGATTTAGTTCCGAAATGACTGCAACAGCCAGAGCTGAGCCAATCCAAAGTTAGGTGCCAAGAGCTTTTTCTGAGTCTTCCACATGGGTGCAGAGGTCTAAGGGCTTGAGTCTTCTTCCACTGCTTTCCTAGACCATAAACAGGGAGCTTGGTTGAAAGTGGAGCAGCTTTACCCAATACTATGTCAATTAATTCCATAATGTTGTATATTGATACTGAGGTTTTGTTGGGGCTTTTAACTGACCGGATCTTTACTCTGTTAGCCCTATCTTCAGACTAGAGAAGGTCTCCCCAAGAGGCCACTGAACTTATCTGGACAATAAGACGCTGGACTTTATGCTAGATATGTGTTTGCAAGGAACGAATCTCAACTGAACTTGAACTGTGGTTATGCAACAAGGTGGAGGAATCCACCATGGGGGGAGGGGTATGGGAGGGGTGGGGGGAATCCCCAGTGCCTATAAAACTGTATCACATAATACAATGTTAACAACAATAAAAAAAAAAAAAAAGAAAGTGGAGCAGCTGAGACTTGAACTAGCACCCATGTGGGATGCTGGCACTGCAGGTAGGGGTCTAGCCTACTATCCATGGCTCCAGCCTCAATTTTATCATTGGAAAGGCAGATTTACAGAGAGAAGGAGAGACAGAGAAAAATTCATCCACTGGTTAACTCCCAAGTGTCTGCAACAGCCAGAGCTGAGCCAATCCAAAGCCAGGAGCTTCTGGGTCGTCTTTGCTGGCACAGGGTCTCAAGGCCTTGGGTCTTTCACTCTGCTTTCCCAGGCCGTAAGCAGGGAGCTGGATGGTAAGTGGAACAGTCCCAAATGGGCTCCTGATGCTTACAAGGCGAGGATTAAACTACTAGAGTATTGCACTGGGCCTAGTTTTTAAAATACTTATTTATTTTTATTTGAAAGGCAAATTCACAGAGAACAGGAGAATCGAATTGAGATCTTCCAGCCATGAGTTCAGTTCCCAAATGGCTGCAATGGCTGGAGCTGAGGTGTCTTGAAGCCAGGAGCTTCTTCCAGGTCTCCCACATGGGTGCAGAGTCCCAAGGATTTGAGCCATTCTCAACTGCTTTCATAGGCATAAGCAGGAAGTTGGATTACAAGTGGAGCAGTCAGGGCTAGAACTGGCATCCATATGGGATGCCAGCACTGCAGATAGATGAGTTGATGTTGAGACACT